TTTTTATTTTTTTCTTAACCTTTATCTTAAATTAAATCCATATCTCTAATCAAATTCTGTAAATTTAAAATCAAAATTTTATACCTTTAATTTTCTTTAACATAAGAAAAACCTTCTCGAATTGAAGCTTTCTTTCCATATTTATTTTAACCTCTAAATTACTCGTTCTTTTATAATTAACATTTATCTATAACGCCTTCTGTGTTTTAATTCTCCCGTCACCCATTTCAATAAAAAGTCTTTCTTGTGTTGGTAGATGTGGTGAAAGATGTATGTTACTAAATAAAATGATATGCTAATAATTTAATCTTGTGCTGGAGAATTTATTTGCCTCTATTTTCATGATTTATCATGTTCTCCTATGTGTGTATGGTGAGTACCCTTTTATTATTGTTTTGGGCATTGTATTCTTGATAATATTGGAAACATCAATTTACTCCATTTATCTTAAATACTTATATCTGGATATAGCATGACCTTGTTTCTTTATCTTGTTATCTTTAATTATTTTTAGTTTCACCCTTATTCTAAATTCGGTGATACCAATTTATCCAATTTGTTCAAACCTCACACTTTGTGACCCTTTGGACCTATTGGGTTATTATTATCCCACATTAGCATTGTACAACCACTTTCCTTAACGATCACATTCCCCTTTAATTTAATTTAATTAACTATATATATTTTCGGCCTTAATTATATTTATCACAACGTTTCAATCATTTAACTGTTTTTTTAATCATGACTATATTCAATTACTAGTACATATACCAAATATTTCAATCTATTAATTATAATTCATAAATAACGTTACATTATACGCACCAATTCCTTTTTTTATTAAACTGCTACAGTACCCCCTAAGGTATTGATTTGTAATGAGAACATGGAGGACGTAGCGACTCGACGGATTTAACGTGCATCGCTCACCATTTACTACACGGGAAGTCTTCGGCCGGCAGGGATTGAACCCACGAACTCTTGGGCACGGACCCAGTACCCTACCAACCATGCTATAAATATATATGTATATAACGAAGGCAGAAAATGAGCATTACCATATAATCATTCTCCCATTGTCCGTCAGCATTTCCCAAAAGTCCAAACGTGCTATGCCAGTCATCAAGTTCAAACTTGCATATAAAGTGTTCGTCATTTTTGCACTTCACACGGATAGAGGGCGATCTGATATCAACCCCTGACTCCATAGGGGTCACTCTCCTATAAGGGAAGAAAAACGTCATTTCTTTCACGAGCAATAAAATTATGACGGATCAGTGATTTTTTCTGATCAATTTCTTAATATAATTTTTAAGAAGTGAAAAACAGGACGTGTAAAATGGCTGTAGCGACATACTTACACATTTTTGAACTGTGTGGGGGTCTCTGCCTCGTTGCCATTCATGAATACCTGATTCCTGTGGTTGATTGTGATGGTCATTTCCGGAAAGAGAACGTGAAGAGTTTTCCCGGAAGTGATCACAGAGAAGAGCGAAGTCTTGAGGTCGTATGCAAGCAGGAAAAAAGAATTAGATGGTAGGAACTTGTAGGATAAGCCGTCAAAGGTGCATATTTGCAGTGAATCAGATGCCATTTTAATTTTAGCTACCGGTTGTTGTGATGAATCCAGTGGCCTCAAGGAAATCAACTAAAAATATGGATGAAGCACTCACTATTAATAGAAGTCAAACTTGTGGCAAAATGTTTGTCATCTATTCAAATTTTTTCCCCTTAAATTAAAATCATTTTTAAAAAAATGACAAAGTAGGTAAAACCTCCCTACTTGCTTGTAGTTTTAATTACTATGAGAAAGGTTTGATCTAATTGAAAACCAATACAGCAATAATTAACTGTCTGGAAAGAGCATTTATTTACTTAATTTTTTTTTATATATCCGTCGTTGAACAGCCGATCCAATTTTGGGTTTACGACTAGTGATGTTCTATTCTGTAGCCTTGTCATTTTGAATCCCACCCAGAAGACAGGGGAACTTCTGGATCGAGTATTGGGAGAAATTTGCCTTCGTGGAGGATTTTTTGATGGGGATAACCTGCATTAGCGTTGCATGGAGAGGAAGATCATGAGAACCTCCTGACGGCAAGAGGACTCTAACCCATGATCCGTCTACCACTGAGGATATTTCACGTTAGCACTGTGGTCGATGCAAGCAGGATGCGGAATTCGTATCGACTAGAATTCGAATCCGGTTCAACTCATTGGAAGGCGAATGCTCTATCCCCTGAGCAGCTCTTATTTACTTAATTATCCTCTTCATGCCTCCTGTTTAACCATTCGTTCAGCCATAGACATTTTTGTGTCTCCAGAATATTTCTTTAGCCAACTGTTAAGTAATTTATTCTGTTAGTTTTCTTATTTCGTACCCCTATAATAATACACTCCTTACCATTACATTAAAAATATCAATTTTAATTATTAGATCGTCAGGCTTTCGTCAGCTTCGCTTTTGAAATTCTTGTTCCTATTTCAGCATCTGTTCTTCCCCTCGCTCTCAACTATTGCACCAAGATATATAAATTGCAAAACATCTTCTATTTCACCAAAGATTTATTTAATGATAAAAAATAACTGAAATTTGTTAAATGAGTTTAATTTTAATTAGAAAACTGTGCTATATAAATCAATTCTATTCTTCTTTTTTTTATTCGTATGTTTGATTCTTAATTATATTTTGTGAGGGTTCTTTTTTATTTTTTTAATACTCTTATATTTTGAATATTTAACAAAATTTTGATTTAGTACCATGGGTCGCCATTTTTGTAAAAATAGGAGGATAATAAGAATCTTATAAGAAATGAAATGGTTTACCTCTGTGAATGAAGAAAGCATTCTGCCTGTGCTGAATTTAAAGATGTAATTTCCATCTTTCTTTGGATAATCAAACGTATGGATAGTATGAATGGCCCAGGCTGCAAAGAAAAAAAAAATCATTATTTGCATTCCAGTACAACGCATTTTATTTAATTCACTGAAATGTGGACTTACTTGTGAGGGAATTTCCTTTCATGAAGTTATAAACATTTCGGCCAGCTCTGGATAGTTGGTCAATGGGAAGAATAGCCTGAAGAGTGTCTACAATTTCTCCAACAGGAGGATAAATAAATTCTTCCATCTGAGAAAAAAATAAATATCTGTGTAACGTTTGAAAAGAAATTGATAGAAATAGTACATGTTTGTTAATTTTATGAAAACTTGTAGCCAAACAAATTGAATACAATCAATTTTGATAGCAAATTTGAATATAATCACCTTTGTTAATTTAAATTGACTTTAAAAACAAATGAAATACTATCGGTTCTGACATATCAATAGAGAGAATGTGCATAGAGTTTTGTTAATCCTAACTATAAACATATTTTCTACCCCTTGGGGGACACTTCGATAAGTTCACGCATAATGAGTAATCTCTTAAATAAATTTCTCTCCTTGCTTCGTATTGTTATGCATATTCTAATTAAATATCTGATGTCTAACTTGAACTAATAATAAAAACCGACTTTTTTACGGATGCTTTAAAATTATTACTTTTGCCAAATAATTTTATAACCACAATGATTGAATCAATTAAAATTCGAAAAATAAAAATTTACACGAATGCAATTATTTACCTCTTCTAAATGAGAGGAAAAAAATGAAATTTGGAAAATGAGTCGAACCGCTTTTTATCTCAAAAATCCAACCAATACTTTCTCATTATCTTCACTATACATTTGCTTGTTCTTCGCGTCAACCGTTCACAGCCCATCTTCACTGTGTAACAACTCTCATGCAGAACTGATATCAAAATACAACGTTTTATCTTCAAATAGGAGCCCCGTTCTAGTTTTACAACTGGCCGAAATTCTTCTATTTTTTTTTTACTAGACCGGATAAAACAGATACCGGATAATCGGGAGCTATGAGACAGGTAAATGTTCAGATGCAGTACAACTAGCGCTGGGCATTATTTTCTTTATTGTAAACTAACTTACCTTTTGTTTCGACTTTTGTAAATAACTGTAGATAGGTTGAAGTGGATGTTGAGGATCGTTGATTGTGTTCATAAACTGCAGCTCTATCTCTCTGTAGGCTGAATCGAGGAGGGATTTCACTTTTAAAAATGTTTTCGGACTTATTTCAACACTCCACGCATTTCGGTGGATATCGCCACTCAACTCTATGCTCTCTGGAATTCCATCCTTAAAATAAATGAGCTATTTATTATGCATAAAAAAGTCCCAGAAAGCATGCAGTGTCGAAAAATTTCTTTTTATTCTCACAAAAATGTTTGTACTAAAAATCTTTTTTCAATAAAGCAAAACTATTGCATCAGTTTCCTCCTAAAAGAATTAAAAAAAAAATTTTAAAGCTTTTTTATAAATGTATTGTCACTTTAGGTAAAATTGTCCCTTAGATCAATCATGACGTTTTAGCTGACGTCACACTAGCGATAGGATCAAATTGCATTGTCCAGTCAAAACAAGGTGGATTTGAGCTGAGCATACAAGACGTTGCCTTAAAAGAAATCTTATAATGACCTAGATTTAAGATTATTTTCACTTTGAGACTAGATATATTAACTATAGGTAAAGGATTTTTTTCAGGCTTGAAAACCGTAAGTCAACCTCGATTTAGGGTTTTTACATAGAACAGGGTGCGTAGCCAAATCTATGAATCAAAAATAAGCACTTTTTAAAAACTTTTTTAAGTACTTTACAAAAATTTTCAAGCACTCAAAAAATTCATATTCAATCAATGATATTATTGAAAAACAAAAACTTTTTATAAAGAGATTTAGCGTTAAAAAAAACCCAAAAAGAAACGGACGTAAATCAAAACAATCAGTACTTTCCCATATCACCGAGTGCATTCAACTTGACCCTGAACTCAGATCAAAAGTACCCTTACCCCCTACGTCAAAAAAAGTGTTAGAAGCAAAATAAAATAAACAAGAATAAAATTAAAAAGAAAAACATTTCATAAGGATCTGATATTCTCTATCCGAATTGGAGCACTCGGGTTTCGGTTTCTTGTGTGCGCGCATGCGCAAGTCATAAAGTGGGTAAGACATGAAGTCCGCGTGAATGATTACGTAGCAAACACCCCATTTTTCGTGAAATGCATGGGATCCCCCAGATATCACTGAAGAAAAAAAAGTTATTTGTGGAAAAAAAAGCACTTTTTAAAAACACCAGCTGAAAAAAGCACCTTTAAAAGCTTTTAAAAACGAAATCCCCAAAAAAGCACCTTTAAGTACTTTTTACAAACGCTACGCACCCTGTAGAAGGTCGTTTTTCAAGGTTTTGGATGAGGGCAATGCACGTAGAATAGAGCAGATTCTCACAGATCTCGTTTTAAGGTTAGAAGGCTTACACGTAAACCGCTTAACCAACCTTTTTAGGTTTACATTAAAAGGTTTTTGCTGAGTTAAAATAAACCTTATTTCGATATCTGGGTAGAGTAAACCTTTCAAGTGCTGAAAAATATGTCTCAAAACAAATTTTGACTCAGGATTACAAATGAGGAAGTTATTTGTTTGCATTTTGTAAATATTTACTAGGTTTACACCTTAAAATTTTTTATAGGTTTATCTTAACTCACTTTTATCAAAATTTTAAACATCCAATGGAGGTGATTGCTGTTTTATACTTCATATAGCTTGTTTAGCTTTTTTTTATCTTGTACGATGTACTGGTATTCAGCTGGTAATGTTATTAAAATGAAGAATGATAATAAATCAAAATTTGAAGAAAGAATGTCTAAAAATGTAAAGGGAAACTTGTTTAGAAATGTCAGGCAGTAAACTGTTCGAGATAGTTTGTTAAGTCATTGGACGATTTTTTGAGGCCCTCACAGACGCATCTGTCGACGATTCAATTTTTTTTAAGTATTTGAAAAATAACATAAATGTTGTTTGCTAGCTTATAGCTCTATGTGATCAAAAAAAGTGTTTATTGTTCGTACTTAAATATTTAGTTACTTTTAAGTCCCCATATTAAATGAATTTAATGATCAACGTCAACGTGGTAGTATTGACGCATTGCGTCTTTAGTGTCATAATACGTTTAATTAATAGTTCTAAAGACTAAATTAGTTGTTCTAAAGTGATTTGAAAACACGAATTTATTTTGTTTACAGTAAAGGGATACCTGCAAGTGACGTACTGTGGATATTACGACCCTGGTTATGTTGTTGAAACTTAGCATTTGTTTACGTTAGCAACTGTTTTTTTCTTATTTAATTTCGAGTAAGCCAATCAAGTCAAGTACCAATTCTCTTAAGTGACACAGCCAATATTATTTCCCAAGGATTTCAATTGTAGCGCTGTACACAAAGCATACTTATATACATATATTTACACAAATACAGGCGCAAAGCCAAGTAGAACATAAACAAACTTATTATGCATCAAAGTTACACAAAACAAAAACATATCACTGTTACAATAAAATACATAAAACAAATAATAAACCTAAGTTGAGTAAAAGAAGAAAGAATTATATTTCAAGTAGTTCGATTCTCTGTATTCAATTAATTAAGCGTTTATTGACATTTTGAGTTATGAAAGTGAAATTTAGCTCCACTTTGCTTGCTTATTAAGATGAGCTGGTGCTAACGTCATAGGTCACATGGGTGGGTATTGGGTGTCATGGAATGCAAGTATTCAATTATTTTAAAACGTGTTTGTATAAAACTAAATAATTTAAAATTAACAGTAATTGAAATGGAAGTAAAAAAGTTATGTATTTAAGGCTACTACAGTGGACTCTTAAAAAATGTTACATTGCTGTAACTTGCAGGATTGCTTATATTTAGATACAGAACAGAAAAAAAATAATTTGATACATAATTAATGTTATAACATGAAAAATGTAAATTAAAATTTTTTTTTTTTAAACTTCGATTTATTTCGAAGTTTAAATAAACTCCTGCGCTGAATGTTTCCTTAAATTTAGAGATTATTTGTCAATTTTAACTCTATTTACATTTCTCTTCAAATTGTTGAAAAACAATTACTGCTAATTTCTTTATCGAGTAAAAAAAAAAAAGCAAGTTTTGGCAAAAAAAAAAAAAAAAAAAAAAAAAAAAAAAAAACTTGAAAATCGTTTTCAATGAACATTAAAATGACTATAAAATATGTTGTGACCCCCTATTGTGAAATTTTCTCCCTACAATTTTTTTTTTATTGGTGTCAAAAAAGTATCATGAGATAGTCATCAAAATTATAGTGCATAGAACAATGTCAATTTCCAGTTCGGTGCAAAGCAAAATAACACTAATAGTGTCAAATGTTTTACAAATTTTTATGATCTTAATAACGCTTTTTTTATACCAGAACCAACTTATTATATATAAATTTAGCAAATTATGGCATCAGAAACTAAGTTGGAAGAGAATACGGTATTACAATAAAAAGAATTAAAAAAATTGCGGTACATTATACAATTATTTTTTTCCTAAATTTTGCTCATTGAAATGATGAATTTTGATGAAACTCATAAATTTACTCATTGAAATGATGAATTCTACACTGAAGAGAATTTTTTTTTTGGATCTATTATCTCAAGTACTACTGGACGGGCTTTAATGAAATTTCGTTTGAACATAGCTTTGATATAATATAAAAATAAATAACCATTCAACAAACATTCATCAGATTCGGATGTTGTGATTACAGAATTTTAATAATAAGGGTTGCTGAGTTCATGTTTAACATTCTTGGGGTGCAGAGAAGAAAGTAATTTGTTGAGAACTAATCTTTTCTGATATGCGGCATTAAAACACATAATATATTCATGTTTACAAATATTAGAAGAGAGTACCTTTTCATCTTCCAATTGCAATTTTATATTCGATGCAGTCCTCGCAAAAGAAAATTTTCCAGCTCCCGGCAGATCTACATTTATGAGGAATTCCCCATTATGTAAATATTTCATGAAGAATTTTATATTTCGGCAATCTTCACTCTGAAAAACAACAACTTTTGTTTACTTTTTGAAATCAGATTCATTTTTTAAAACTGAAAATTTCAAGTTGCATTTTTATTTCGGGAGAAGAATTCTTCACCCCCTCGGGATTAACAATGATCAAATTAGTCTTATTTTGAATTTTGTGTCATTCGAATTCAAAGCGCATTTTTTGTTAAAATTCTTTATGCATTTTCTACGCGTTTCAATTTATTCTTTTTTTTATGATTATCATTAAAATTTGCTTCGCAGGCTTTTTGAGAAAATGCTGGCAAATTATGGTTTGAATAAAATTTCTTTCCCAAAAATTTAATGCAGAAAATGGTGTGTATAGAAAAGAAATCCCCATAAGAGGATATAGAGCTAAAATAATTATATATTTTAAACCATTAATATTTCCCTTACTCATTTAACAAAGCATTAGTTATACAGTCGGACTTCTATTTAACAAACTTCCATTTTGCAAATTTCTTTATTTAGCGATTTTTTTTTCGTGGTACTAAGAACGTTTTGGAAATTTCATAAAATAACTTCCAAATAGCGAAGGGAATCCTATATTTAATCAACTTTTCCTTGAGATCCACTTTCCTATTTCCCAAAATAATTCAGGACATTTCAAACTAGTTAACACATTTTAGGGATGAAATGACCTTCCATTGATTTTCGCTGCCACTTAGAGAGTGTAGTAAAATCCCTTTTTGTTTGCATTTCAAACGAAAATCTCAAGACAAAATGATCATTTTTATTTGTAGCAATTTAACTTAGGAAAGCATGTGGTAATGTATGTTGAAAATTACTTTAATAATAAATGCAGCTACAATTTTCTACATAAATTTACCTTTTTTAGTTAAAAATGTATATAGCTGTATTGGACAATGTTTTGCTCTATTCTTGCTTTCCATGCAGATGTCTTTTATGGTTAAGACATATTAAATAAATAGTAGATACTAGTCTACAAGATAAAGGTATATCAATTGCTATTTTAATTCTGTCTAGTGTTTATGAATTTAAAATCTGCTTTGTGTTGGTTAAGTATCTCAAAAGGGGTTGAAGTTTTCGAACGAACCCCGATATAACGAACTTATTATCGGGATTTAGCGACTTCGTTAAACAGAGGTCCGACTGTATCTTTATCATTTCTTGAGATGATAAAAAAAATGACATATTTAAAAAATTACCAAACTGTTTTCTTGTATAAACAGACTAGAGTTAGTTTCACATTGAATATAAAATTTAATGAGTGATTTACCATGCAAGTGCGTGAGGCAGTCTTTTGATGGTCTCCGTCATTCCATTCAGCAGTAACGTTGACTACAGATTTGGAAAAACTTATGTTACAAGTTTCGATGGTGCGTCCCAAATCAATATCCTTAAAGATCTCTGAAATGACAAATATTGGTCATTGTATTTGAATGCTGGGTGACATGTTAAAGCCAGAACGCAAAAAAAAACTGTCAAGGGAGAAAAAAATGAACCCAAAGTGCTTCTTTGCAGTCATAGGAAGGTAATTTAATTATGTCACTCTAGAGCAGCACAATGGGCTATTGGCGAGATGATCCGAAGACATACCATCGCAATTTCGATCCTCTGCATAAGAGATGGCACCCCTGCTTTGGTAGCCCGACAACCTGCCCTCGAAGTCGAGGAATTTACGGAAAAGGAGTTTTACGAGGACCCATACCGCACACCATCGGTCCCTACGCAGACTGATTAAAGTGGTCACCTACCCGCTTACTGACCGCAGCCAGTGATGCTTGACTTCGGTGTTTTACTGGGAACCGTGTCTTTACGATCAGTCCACTGCTTGACCTTTGCAGTAATACAATATTTACAATTAATGTACAATATTCCGACCATTAACAATAAATGCGAACTACAGCTGTGATTGTCTGAGAATGCAGTGGGTAGAGGGCATTAGGCGAAGTGTCCGCCTCTTTTTCAACGCGTCGTCCAATCCCTTCAACCGAACATGTATCACTGTTAGTAGTCGCAGTTTTTAACATTCATCGTGAATATTGCTGCAAAGAATCCCTTTGCGTTAATTTTGTAAATAAAAACATTTTTACTCCCGTGCCTTCGACATAAGACCGTACATTCTTTATACACAAGTAATATAAAAACAATTTTTTTTGAAAGTCAGTTCTTACTTAGAACAACATAGAAAAATTTATTTTAGTTACTTTTTATTTAATAATTACAATTTCTTCTCCCGTATAAAACTAAAATCAATTCATTGCATTTAATGAATGCATTAATATTTGTAAAAAAACTGTATTAATATCAAGTGTTATTCATCACAAGTGTTAAAAAAAATGTATTTGACCTTAAATGGATGAATAAAAAGTATTTTAACGAACGATTGAACAAGATAGAGTGTGAACTAATAAGTATAAGGGATTGAGTTAAAATGAGGTTTCATAATTGTACATACGGTCTACTCTCATATTCAGTGTTTTCCAGTAGTTGGAGTTGGTCTTCCAGTGCAGTTTCAGTGTCTTGAGATCTGTTGCGTCACAAGATTGGGATGCCCTGGTTAGAGAATCGAAGAAGTGGGATCGAATGTCGTGTTTCCAAGAGAATTCTTGGCATCCAGTGAGAGAGTGCCTATACTCCATGCTATTGGTCAGATCCTTTTGTGATGGCACATGGAATAGGACAGTTTTGTGATGGAATGATGTGTCATCCATACCCGCCTCGTACACAGAATGAGTTGCCAACTTTAAGTCTATTAAGTTGCTCTCTACTTCAAAATTCTCCTGAAATCTTAAATGAGTGACAAATGAGGGTTACAAATTAGAATACAGCAATCAATTTTCTTAGTAGCAAAAAACGGTTCAGCTAAGAGTCATTTTAAAATCCTGTTCTCAACCAGAATATTTTTTTTTTTAACTTTCAGCAAAACACTTTTTCGGGATTCATTCTGGACCCTAAAAAGAACTCTAAAAACTGAAAAGGGCTTTATATCCCCCCAAAAATGGGCACACCCATCACGAAAATTTGCATGGCTTTTAAGAAACTCAAAATAAATAAAGTTCTTACTTTTGTCATTTAAAAAAAATATTTTTTCAAAGAAAAGTAATAAATTTAAAAATAATTTCTCGGTTAACCTGTTCGATTCTTTACACTAAAGTAATACAAAAAAAAAGCTTTATAAAAAAGTAGTGGTATTATATCTATTTACCTAAATGTTCATCTTTAGTTGCTAGTCACCATTTCATTTCACAAAGTCCCTTATAATTTAAGATATAAAAGCGGATACCAAAATCATTAAAAAATTACTGCGGATGAGAATCTCCTTTGAACAATACCGAAACGATTGTTCTACCACAATATATGTTCTTAAAAATTAAAAATTTTGACTGACTACCCAAGTCAAAAGTTTTGATGGTATTCCATTGATGGACCAACATAATGATTTATGATGGTCCAACGTAAAAAAATTCCCAAATGTGTTTGATGGTATATTCCTGCTGAACTAACAAGAATTCCCATTAAACCATCATGGAAATGCATTATTGGAACCATCATGGACCATCACACATCGTCATGGATTGTTGGTCCACGAGAGTCAAAATTCTCTTGATGGTTCACCATCATAGTATTAAAGTAGCATTTTCCATCATGGAACGATAAAAGTTCATTGGCATATAAAGCACCACATAATAGAAAATATTGGTTGATGGCGAAAATGAAATAATGTTGGACCATCATGAATTTCACTGAAACCAACATAAACCATCAAAAATTGTTTGATGGGCCCATCAAGAATTTTGACTTGGGTATTTAGAGGACGATGGTCCTATCAGATTTCAGCGACTGACAAGGGAAACTAGGGAAGTGTGACTCACCAATTTTGAAATAAACTAGTGGGATGTATGCCTTATGAGGAATAATTTTAGGGGGAAACATTCGTTTCGGCCCATAGAAGGTCCTGTGAGAGATAAAAAATAGTTCAAAAAATAGAAAAATCAGTATTTTATTACTTCAATACAGACTATTAGTTATTGTAATTGTCTCATACTCTAATTAATTTTGTGGTACTTTCACGTACTGTATAATGCATATTGACTGTCGAAATTGATTTTGAAAATTTTATATATCCGTAGTTTTTCAGAAAAACCTGTTAGGTTAATTTAAAAAAAAAATTTACATCGAATTTTCTTAACTTTTTTTCCAAAAAACTTTCCAAATTAGTTGGAGTATGTAATTGCAAATCAATTAATAATTAATTAACAATTAAATAATAATTAATTAACAATTATTTGATAATTATTTTCTGATTGATTTATTAATTAGCAAATTAATTAATTATCTAATTAATTACAAATTAATTGGAGTATGAGACAATTACAATAACTAATAGTCTGCATTGAAGTAATAAAATACCGATTTTTCTATATATTGAATTATTTTTTATCTCTCNAACATTAGGAGGTTCGTCACCTGCATACATCCCACTAGTTTATTTCAAAATTGGCGAGTCACACTTCCCTAGTTTCCCTTGTGAGTGTGCGCATAGATTTAAAAAATGATCTGTGTCTGTTGCAGGCTCACCTGTAAGAGGTTTGTTCACCGTCCATCATGATTCTTCCTTTGCTCACAACAGAAAGTGGACCGGAATGGAACGATGCCTTGACTTGAACCACTTCACTGTTCAAGAGTGGGAAATCGAGATCGACAACGGCCTCCAATATGTTCTCTTCTCGCTTATCGAAAGTGTCGCAAATATCCCATCTCAACTACGATTACAAAACACAACATATTTCAAAATTACACTCATGATTAAGAGGACAATATGTTCGATATTATTTAAAAAACTCACATTTGTTAAAGAACTTTTTGGTGTCATGAATGCTTGCTTGAGTTCTATTAGGTACTGTAAACCGCTGTCGGTACTCATTTTGTGCCAGTAAAGTGACCACGATTTTCTAGGGATAGTCACGCTCCACACTACCGCTTCTTTAGTCTTTGAAACCCAATTGCTGCGAGAAAAATTGAAATAACCCTGGAAGGAAATATGTTTTTAAATTAGAACTGTTGTTTTGATATGTGAATATATCAATTGACAAAATGTAAGAGAGATACATCAATAATTATTCGTTACATATTAAAACAAATTTAATTCATTTATAAATAACCGTATTTGTGAACTCCAAACTTAATGGGCTCTTTTCGTTGCATTTTTGAGTTAACATTGATAAAAAATCTTGGTTTATTTGTTCATTAAAAAAAAGTTTTATTTTTCGACGTTTCTTTTCTTGAGAGTTTTTTTGAAGGACATAAAGAAAAATTATTTTTGCAAACATCAAATTCTACATACCGCTGTTATTAACATTGTGTTGGTAATTAGAAGGTTTTTTTTTTAAATCCAAATTTGGAGGATTTTTTTTCCACATAGAATATAAATTAAAAATTCGTTTTATTATAACAAATTTTTTTTAATTGGGTATAATATAAAAAAAAACACAACTACTTCGATTTAGTAGGAACAACATATGACGCAATGCTAAACGAATGGAATTTAGTTGTTGTTTATTTAGTTATTGTTATTTGTTTTAGTTGTTGTTGTTTATTTAGTTGTATTTAGTTTCAATAACTTTTCTTTATAATGCAATAAAATCTGGCGAGCAGCTATTTAAACGATCAAACACTTCGTTTGTTTATTTGTGGCTTGAAGTTAGGCTCGCAGAAAATGCCGTTCATGGGTTAAATTTAGTAGGAACAACACAACCTGTGACGTAGGCTATATTATACCCAATTGTATTTATAATTTATCGGAAAAAAATGACGTAAGTTGAAGAAGCTTGTCAAACTTACTGAGGATAGGTATCATTTATTATAACGGAGTTTTTCTTTTCGCATGCAATTTCATATTTTGGTATTGATGCAAGAAACGTACTGTAGGAACATTTAATAAATAATTTCACAAAATGGTCATCGCATAGATCATTCCGTCGAAAGAAACATCTTAGAACGTCTGAAGAAAAAGGTGACAAACAATAAAAGGTGATAATTGATTTATTAGTAAGGTTGTATGTGAAATTTAAGGTGATACTATGCAGCTTTAATTGTTTTTAAACGACTGGTTTGCACTTGTTTACATTCGTGTATTAATGGGTTAAATTATACGATAGATAATATAAATTCGACGATAAATTATATAAATATGGAATAATCAATATATCCAGTATTATATATTTATATAGTATTACATAGTATATTATAATAATTTGACCAAATCATCAGACGCACTGTAGTTTTTTTAATAATGACAAGTTTTGCTCGAGTTTATAGGCTATACTTTTATATTTAAACACACATGTCATGAGTTTTTATGCAGGAGATTTTTTACAGACTTCCTATTTGCATTAATATTATTTTTTTAACGTTTTGCATTCCAATGTTGACCCATTGATACAGGAGCATAAACAATTGAAAACCGGTTTCAGCCTCGTAAAAATAATAAAGCTGCAAAGTTATAACCTGACAATTAAGATTTTACATAGAATTATTGTGGTGTGATCATGGGATCACCACAATATTTACTTTTCATACTGGTCTATCTCCAAAAGATAGCGTCCCCTCCTTAGCGGTTGCAAGAATCTCTAAAGACGAGCTATGAGTCGAGCCCTAGAGATACTGCAAAGGCAATGAAGAGGGCGCTCCTGTTGGAGACAGCCCAATATGAAAAGTAAACATTGTGGTGATCCCATGATCACACCACAATTATATTGCGTCGAATATATTCGCCAGGTATTTGTGTATTTGACTGTTAATGTTGCCCACTTTGCGATGCGTTTTAAACCAGTCAAGTTCGTTTTGTGCATTGTTCTATAATATATTATACAGTCGAACTCGTTTATAACGAGCTCGGATTTAACGAGAACTCGGATTTACCGAGGGAAACGAGAATATTTGGTTGGATCAATGTTAAGTCTATGGAACAGAAGTCGCTTTTAACGAGCGATACCCGGTTTTAGCGAGCAATNTTTCGATTTTGGTGATCCCATGATCACACCACAATTATAGTGCGTCGAATAATTTCGATAATTTGACGAATTTCGATTTTGGTGATCCCATGATCACACCAATATTATAGTGCGTCGAATAATTTCGATAATTTGACGATAATTTGACGAATTTCGATTTTGGTGATCCCATGATCACACCACAATTATAGTGCGTCGAATAATTTCGATAATTTGTCGAATAATTAATAATAATTTGACTGTCAATGTTGCCCAGTTTGCGATGCGTTTTAAACCAGTCAAGTTCGTTTTGCGCATTGTTCTATAATATATTATAATACGATGAAAAAAAAATTTGTTTCTTTGCTAAACTTACCAATACTCTCCCTGTGTTGCTCTCAATTTTAGTCATACTAATAACCATTCCTTCGTTTTCCGTCGTTTTTCTGCTGATTTCAATCGTGGATGCTGGAATTTTGAACAAAACCGTTCTCCCTTCCTCTTTTCGAATGAAATGAAGTTCAATCCAGGCTTTTCCTGTACTTGCATCCCACCACTCAGGCCACTTCATACTTCCAACCAAACTACAAATACACGAGGATGATAAGTACATATCTGCCAACTTTTAATGCCTTCCATTATAATTTTTCCCAGTGGTATTAGAATGGAAAAAAAATTTCAATTTTAAGCAAAAAAATTCGTTGTATTTGAAAAAGCTTAAACTGCCTACCATGACAGTAACACATATTAATATATATGCTTAAGTTTTTTAAAAATAGTGGTGATGAAAATCATTTAAAAATTTAAATTATAAAAGAAGAAAATAGTATCTATATATTTACTACCACTTTAAATATAAAAATAAAATTTTACGCCAAATGCGTAAAAGTTGGCAGGTATGTAAGTAGGGTGAACTGACCGGCTTGTCTTCAAAAAATTTGCAACGTTTTTAAAATAAATTTTTTTTTTGATAAATGTGAGTGTCAAAAATAATTCTTATAAAATGCAAATGAATTAAAAATACGTAATATAAAACCAAAATGTTTAAAGTCAATTCCTACTTAGGGCAACAAAGAGAAATTTTATTTCAGTCTGCTTTTTATTAAATCATTAAAATTTTTCTTCCATATAAAACTAATATTAATTCATTAAATTTAATGAATGAATTAATAGTTGAAAAAACTGTATTAACATCAAGTGTATCACCCACTAATAGTAGGAATGGGAGGTAATTTATTAAGTATTGTTTTCAAGGTTTTGTGGTTCAAATAAAAAGTAGTAAAATAAACATCTTTAAATAAACACCCCGGAGAATGAATACTTGATATTCTGATTGCAATACATGGCTTTTTAATGTTAATGCATGAAAACAATTTTTCTCCTATAATCAATACTTATTATTTTTTTTTAAAAAAACACTTACACTAGGTCACAGAACAACCTAGAGCAAATTTTACACCAGGTCATATGTCTATCGAAAAGTAAAGTTGATTAAGTTTAAAAATTAATTTCCATTTTTTTTTCTAGTTGAATTCTAAAATAGCTAGAATCCTCCTTTTTGATTGTTTATCGATATCTAATCAATCAATATTTACTACGTATGCCACATAATTGAAAATAAATTATGCGACAAACAGAGGGAGGCGTTAAAATTTTGGCCACCAAAAATCAATTTAATTCTATTCAAGCTGGATAATCTTGGGCAGTTTGTAATACTTTCTTTTTTTATTATTAATTTTATTATATAAATTTTTTATTTTATAACCGGCGTTGAACAGCTGATACATTTTATGGTTATCAATGTTCGACTCCGTAGCCTTGTAATTTTGAACACAATAAAGGAGACAAAGGAACTTCTTAAGCCTCGATGGCTCAGGAGATAGAGCGTTCCAGATTCGAATCCCAGCGATGGCTTGTCGATACGAATTCCACATGAGCCTTGCATTGACCACAGTGCTAAATATTCTCAATGGTGGACGGATCATGGGGTAGAATCTCCTTGCCGTCAGGCTAACCACTGGAGGTTTTCCTCTCCATGTAAGGCAAATGCAGGTTAGTTCCGTCGCAAGTCCTCCAAAAAGGCGAATTCCACCCAAAACTTGATCCAAGAGTTCTCTTTTTTTCTGGATTGGATTTAAAATGACAAGGCTAAGGCGTTGAACATTAGTTATCGTAAGCCCAAGAAATTGGGTAGGCTGTTCAACGACTCTTATAGTTATAATAATAATTTTTTATTTTACAAACGGCTTTGAACAGGCTATACATGTTTTAGGTTTACGGCTACCAATGTTCAACTCCGTAGCTTTGTAATTTTGAACACAACACATACGACGAAGCAGCTTCTGGATGAAACTAACTTTCATTTGAATTGCATGGAGAGTAAAATCTTCCCAAACTGTAAAGGGTGCGAACCGAGATGTGTGTCGATATAGTATCAGTATAGTCAGTGTCACATGGTTTGTAGCTTAGCTCTTAAATGAAAAAAAAAAAATATATATGAATACACCTTACTCTTCAAAAGACAGGTGCAATTCCGTCAAAATGTCTTCCCTCGTGGTGCCTTTTATCTGCAGGCTATAATCAGGGGTGGTTACCGTCAAAAGTCTCGTCCGTCCAGTTTTCACGTTCGTATTTTCTTCTTCATAAATTTCTTTGTTCTATTAAGAAATGAAACAATCATTCAAATGCAAAGGTATAGTTTACCTTAAGAACTCCCCTAGCCATTCCTCTGAACTCGTGGCGGTGACTATAGCGACGAAGCATAACTATTTCAAGTAGGGGTGTGTGGTCACTGTTTAGGACAGATTTTTGGATCGGGTCATCCAGAGAAAGATGATTTTTTTTCTTCGGTCCACTGTGTCAGCCCTAGAGTGAAGAGAAGGTACCCTACCTGAAATGAGCTATTCTTGTTTCCATAGCAGCAGACGATTTCAGACTTTGTGGCGAGGGGGGATCTTATCGTAGACAAACTATAAGTAGTATCAAGAGTTTAGTATATCACGTATCCATTTCATTTCTTTTACAGTAATGAGAGTTCTTATCACAATACTTCTTAAAGATTCCAGTCAAATGAATTCAAATAAGCGGGTTAATTTGAAATGGTATAACTTGGAGAAGAAAAAAAAATCTATTTTCATGAACAATAAGCAAATAAAATTAGAACTTGTCAGCGTCGTAGAAGCAAATAGACATTTAAAATTTATATATATTCATATANATATAAAGAATTGAAGCATTTCCTATTATCATTTCAAAAAAAAAGATGATGTGTTTAAGAAATGAGATGGTTAATAAGGAACGACTTACAGAATAATTAAGTGAATAGAGATCTGTTTTTAAAATCAATGTGTGGTGAAAACTGTCAGACTCCATGGATGCAATGAATTCGGGGATACATGGAATGGTCACATAGGTCATCTGCTGTTGTCCATGTGCTTCCATGTGGAAAAGTAATTCATAACTTCTGTTGAACCCTAGAAAATAAATTTTTTTTATGTGTAGCAAAAAAATATCAAAATCTGAAACCGAAATAATAAGTTTCTTTTTATAAGCCTTGCATGACTGAGAGCAAAAACTCTTTAATGACGTCATTTCACTGCAGCCATATGATTCGTCTACAGTGTTTTATTTTATAAAAGGAAAAATTAAGAGCTTTATTTATGTTTGATAAATCTATTTTGATGAATATTCTAACATTGGTGTTGTTAAGATGTTCTACAATGTTTTTTTCCCTGATATTTTTAAAAAATTCAAAGGCGCGTCAAAATCTATCTTATAATTTTCGAGCAATTTTGATATGGATTTTTTTTATTTATCAATCCATTTTAGAGAGAGCCAAAATTCTCCTGTCAATTTTTCGGCTAATTTTAAGGGCGTTTATTTGATAAAATATTAAACAGTGTTTTGCTACATTTGGTGCTCATAAACAAAACTGCCGCAGCAAATTGTGAATTAAATGATGTAATAAAATGACTTACCAGATGTTGTTATTCCCATCAGAACTTTTTCATTGGTAGATGGAGGATATTTTGTTACATCCACAACATATTTCTTTACTCTAGAAAAAGGAAAACGTTTGTATTCACACACACAATTTGGTTACAGAGCGCAAAAAATAACTTTTAATCGGATTTTTTATGTACTCCATCTTATTGGTTTGAGGGGATGCCCTCAACTATGCTAATATATTAGAGCAAACGATATTTTAAGTTACGAAATGAGGCATAAAAACGTACTTTCTCTGAATTAAACATACCTTTTTTTTCGACACATTTGGATTCCTCCTAATTTAGGGCCGCAATCTGGGAAATAGGGTGAGCAGACCGGTCGAAAGTTTGGACTCATTAATAATAATTTGACGTGTTTCGTCAAATCTCTAGAACTTTTTAAGCGAAATGAAAATTTTCTGCACACAATTATAGAATTAGTTTGATCAAAAATAGTTCCATGCAAAAAAAAAAAAATTAACAATTATTTATTACTTTTCACTATTTTCTTTGATAATAGTATAAAAAATTATGAGTTGCAGTGTATAAAAATTTTTACACCATTTTAGAATCAAATATAAAGGCATTTAAAAGGCAAAATATAAAATTGGAAAGAAATTTGTTCAATATTTCCTAAGAATCGAAATAAGTGGAGCATCGTTTATACGACGATCACTTATACGACGTTTACATTTATACGACGTTTTAGTGTGGTCCCAAATCATTCCTATTCATTTTAATGTAAAAATATATCGTTTATACGACGCACAGAATCGGTTATACGTCGGTTTTTAGATTTTGTTCCTTATTTAATTTTTTATTTTTTCTAGCGTATTTTAAAAAAGGGCGGAATTTGCCAACATGAATGATGCAGAAAAGGGTGTCAACAAGAATGCTTGGATGACGACCGTAATTTTTACTAGATGACTGAAAAAACTAGACAATGTTATGAAGAGGAAAAAAAGAAAAATTGCTCTATTCATCGACCAAAGTCCAGCGCACCCATCGATACTAATTATTTTGGAAAATGTAAAAGCTCTCTTT